GTTTACACTGTCCTTAAGGAAATTTATTTTAACTCTGCACTTCTCACTGAGTCCTCATCTGTTTTCACATTTTATATCCATTTTAAAAATAGCTTTAGAAATTATTCTGATTTGCAGTAAATGATTTGCTGTGCTAGCTGTTGATCAAAAAATGAGGTTTTCTATTATGCTTAGCGTTTATCTCATTTACTTTAGCTGACCGTGTTTTCCTGGGAGGAAAATGTAATGATATGATTCAATGTTATAAAACTGAAGGGAGACAGTAAACTTTCAGATGCATTTACAGTAACTAGGAATTTAGATTTTTAAAAATATTTTAATTTTTTATTTGAAATTTTGGGGAAAATGGGCTGCTATCTTCACTCGGTATGAAGAAGACAGGAAGAAGACAGGAAGTTACTTAGGCAAATAACTGAGTTTGTATTTTACAACTTTTTATTTACTTCCCTTGATTTTCTAAGAATACATGTTAGGTCTGGCTTTGATCAAAGATGTCTACTTGTCTTTCAGTAGTAGTCTAATGACTGTTTTCAGTAAATGACAGGCAGAACCTTTGGCTTGAGTAAACCTTTCTCATGCCTGGTCAGTTCTTGTGGAAAGTAAATTTTGTCAGAAGGTGTTATAATTGGTATCAAGTTTAAAACAAGCTGCAATTAAAAGAACATAATGTTCACTTCAAAACCAGAGGAAGAAGAGTCAACAGTGAAAGTATTTTTAATTGGAGTCTTAGCTTTATTTGCCTGCTACGCAAAGCAAATAAAGGAAGGCTTGAAGCAATAAGTGAACTATTTTCTTATTTTTTGATATTGCAAATGTTAATTTTTCTTCAGAAATTTTTCTCTATGTGGCATTTGAACCTGTTTTGTTTTTTATCAAGAACTTCATGATAGCAGTGAAAAAAGGTTTCCCAAAGATGCAGAGTGGCCACAGGAACTTGAGCATGAGGTTGAGCATTTTAAGTAAAAATACATGCTTTGTACGTGTATGCTTTCTCTTCTGCGGTACTTGCCAAGGAATTGCTGTCTCAGTGATTCTGTGTAGCTGTGAGGCTTCTTATTCTAAGTAGCTTTTGCATTGTATGTAATATACAATGTATATAATGTATGCACCTTTATAATCAGATGTAATTCAAAGTGATTTTCAGTTTCCTAAGCTTCTTACCTCAACTTCTTGTTGGTCTACCTAGTCTCTCAGATTTGTGGTTTGAAGGTATAGTGGTGCATCTGAGGTATCCTGCTGTAAACCTGATGAGCTATTTGGGGTTTCCTATGTTGCTAAATGTATAATTTAAGACACTTGGTTAAATAGTCGGGGTAGAAAATAAGGTGTTCATCTAAGATTTAACTTCTGCATTCTAAGGTAGTTGCTTTGCAGCATTGTTCTTCTTGTAACTTAGTTTGTGAGCTTTAGACCTGTTTTGGCATAGATGTTAAATAGAGTGTGTTACTTAGATAATGAAAAAAGTAATCTTCCATTAATACCATTGTATTTTTGTATTTGTGAATATGTCAGAGTTGGTGCATTTCTTTGGCTAGTTAGACTGCTTGTTCTGAATTTATTTGCTCTGTAGAACTAGCTAAAATAACTGCTGTACGTGAGAAGCAGAACAGTTTTCCTACATGATATTTAAGTCATGGAATCTGTTTAACATAGGAACTAGGGTTTACTTTTCCTCTTCTCTCCTTAAAATTGAGATTTCCCACAACTTAATAGTACCTTTTAGTGAGAAATAAAGTAGTCCAAACCATTCAGCACATCTCTTTATAACATAAGGTTAATTTATTGTTGTTCAGTAAAGCAGAGTCTTAGAGTGTTTGTCTTAATGTATTTCAAAATAAACTTTGACAGTAAATAAAAACCGAGGTAACTGATTTAGATAATTTGCGTGAATTGTTAAAAATTCACTTCCACTTCAGTATCTTCACTTGTTTTCTGTACATTTGCTTGAGCATGCTAATGCTGCTTTCAGGTTGCATTAAGCTTTTTATGTATGGTAAGGAAGAGATCAGTTGGGTTTCAAACATCTGCTGTGTTTTAAAAAGATGTGAGTTTGTTTACTGCCATTGCCAATAAGCTGACAGAAAAAGGATCTTAACCTTGAAGTGAGATTTTAATAAAAGCTTCCTGTGACTTGGTGGTTCTCCTGTTGTACCCGAGTTAGATGTTCATTTCTTTGTGTGAAGCTAAAAGCCTACTTGCAATACAAAACTACTTCACCTTGCATTCGGAACAAGTGTCCTGGAGTTCAGTAGCTCTTCCAGCTAGAGAAATAACAGATCCGTTCCAAAATACTTTGTGCAGGATGCCAGAAGCCTGGCTTCATGGTAGCTCTACCAGCCACTTAATGGTAATGTATTGTGCAAGATTATTTTCGAGGTTAGCCACAAATGACAGTCATGGATCTAACAATTGAAGAAAGAGACCAGAAGGTAATAATTACAATATTCTTATAAAATTAAATAAGAACGGTTATGTGATTGTCTGTATGTGTTCAGAGAGCTCACAGAAAATAAGCCTAATAGAAAATTGGTGACAGGCAGAAGTAGTTTTCTGGAAGTAAAGACTGCTGTAAAAATGAATGGGAATGGAAATGGCTTGCAGAGATTTTTGAGTCAGATTAAAGATCCAGAGCTTTCACGGAGATTATGCACTTGAACACCTTTATACATGATCTTGTTTTGCTAATTTCTATTAATTGTGTTCTTAAACAGAGCAAAATGTGGTTTTATGCCAGAATATTTATGAGTTATGTTGATTCTGGAAAATTAGTTTATGTAGTACTAGGCTTGCTTCAGTTTTTAAAAATACAGTTAAATCTTATTCCTAAACACATTTTGGAGTGCAGCAGTGTGTACTTCAATTTATTTTAATTGAATTACATTCAGACTTGCTCTTTATTTAAATTCAACGGACACAGTTCTTGGAGTGCAGTGAATGATTTGACTGTTACCTCTGGGCTCAATACAAGGTCAAAATTCTTAGGAAAAATGTTTTTTGGTGAATATCTGCTTCAGTAGTGCTGCACTACAGATCTTTAGTGCTTGTCTCTTGGTGGTGCTTTTAAAATTTTATTTTTTAAGAAATATCTTTTTCGTTTTAGTCAATTTGGAAATTATGCAGGAACTTCAGCAGTATTTGTTGCAGGTTAGAGAGGATTGTTTTTATCAGCGTATGCTGAGGAAAGTGATCTGATGGTTTGCACTGATGAGAGGTGTTTCATGTCTTGACCTTTTGAAATTTGTAATTACATTTATTCCTGTGAATATGCTTCATGAGAAAAGGCAGTGATTGCCTAAACTGAATTATAATTTGATGTGGGGGAGGGTGAGGGCTTGAGGTTCTGAGGCTGATTTTCTTTCCTGATTTGTACCAAAATACAGCAATCAAAATAGCTAAAATGGTTCTGAATTAAAAATAACAAAATCTAATTTGTCACATCCTAGCCATAACCAGCAGAGAAAGTGCAAAGCCTTATTTTCTGCCAGCTTTTCTACCTGGCAAACTTGTACTCTACTGTGGCATGAAGTACTCTTGATCAATATGAAATGGGAAATGGTCTTGCAAGTCAAGAATCATTAATCAGAATTGCAGAATTGGTTACGTGATACCATTCCTGACCGATGTTTGTCTAATCTGCTCTTAGAGGAAAAGCCCAGGAACAGAGAGCCCTTGGTCTTCCCTGGAAATTGGTTTTGGTTCTTTATTGTTTTTCTACGATCTGATTTAGTTCTCTTTTTGCTTCTGGTTAAGCTCATTTGTTCTGCTCTTATTCCAGGAGGATATAGAGAACAGTGTGTTATTTTCATGCCTTTGGCAACATTTTTGAAGTTGATGGCAAATCTGAAGCTAGACTAAGCAGCAATTCCCTTTCAAATGTCTTGATATCAGATTCTATTAAAGATATGCTGAAGATAAAAGTCTGTTCAGTACAGTAGCATCAACTAGGTCACCTCTACATGATGGAAAAGAATCTATTTACTGGAAATACACTCCTTCTTAACGTAATCTCTACTCACAAGTTAGAAACCACATCTTGTACCTTAACCATTGCTGAACACTGATTTACCTATTCAGTATAGTGGCTGCCTTCTTATAAGGGCCTTCTGTGATGAAGTGACTACATCAGTGGACAAAGGAAGAGCTAAGGATGTTGTCTCTCTGGACTTTTGTAAGGCCTTTGACATGGTCCCCCATAGCGGCTACAAAGATGATCAAGGGAGTGGAGCATCTCCCTTATGAGGAGCGGCTGAGGGAGCTGGGTCTCTTTAGTTTGCAGAAGAGGAGACTGAGGGGAGACCTCATTCATGTTTATAAATATTTAAAGGGTGAGTGTCACGAGGATGGAGCCAGGCTCTTCTCGGTGACAAACAATGATAAGACAAGGGGTAACGGACGCAAACTGGAACACAGGAGGTTCCACTTAAATTTGAGAAGAAACTTCTTCTCAGTGAGGGTGACAGAGCACTGGACCAGACTGCCCAGAGAGGTTGTGGAGTCTCCTTCTCTGGAGACATTCAAAACCCGCCTGGACGCGTTCCTGTGTAACCTCATCTAGGTGTTCCTGCTCTGGCAGGGGGATTGGACTAGATGATCTTTTGAGGTCCCTTCCAATCCCTAACGTTCTGTGATTCTGTGATCCTTCTCTTTAATTTGGAGAGATACAGATTTGGTGTGCGGACTGTTCAGTAGATGAGGAAATGCTTGAATGATCACAGCTAGAGGGTAGTGGTCAATGGCTCAATGTCCAGATGGAGATGGGTGACAAGTGTTGTCCCTCAGGGTTCCATACTGGGACGAGTGCTGTTTAATATCTTCATTAATGATACTGACAGTGGGATTGAGTGCACCCTCAGCAAGTTTGCAGCTGACACCAAGCTGAGTGGTGCGGTTGAGAGCTCAAGAAAGTGGGCCCATGTGAGCCTCATGAGGTTCAACAAGTCCAAGTGCAAGGTCCTGCACCTGGGTTGGGACAATCCCCAGTATCAATACAGGCTGGGGGATGAAGGGATGGCAAGCAGTGGGTCCAGAGGAGGGCCACAAAAATAATCAAAGGACTGGAACACCTCTCTTATTAAGACAGGCTGAGAGGGTTGGGGTTGCTCAGCCTAGAGAAGAGAAGGCTCTGGGGATATCTTATTGCAGCCTTTCAGTACTTAAAGAGAACTTATAAGAAAGACAGGGACAGATTATTTTTTTTTTATTATGGGGATAGTGAAACACTGGAACAGGTTGCCCAGAGAAGTGGTTAGATGCCTCATCCCTGGAAACATTCAGGGTGAGGTTGAATGGGGCTCTGAGCAACCCGATCTGGTTGAAGATGTTCCTGCCTATTGCAGGGGATGTTTGAACTAGAAAACCCTTAAAGGTCACTTCCAACCTAAACTATTCTATGATTCTCTATATATCTGATTGCTCTGAAGTTTTGCATGTGAAAATTGCTTATCCAGACTATTCTGCAGATACATACCAATGATGTTTGTAGAAAGCCTGGTCAGTATGTAAGTAGAAACCTACTGAATTCTATGAACTTACTTACAGCACATAAGCTTTTTTATTATAGTGTTTAGTAAGCTGTTTGGCAAAGTTTGAATCATTTCAGTGCAGTTAGTATCTTCTGTTGCCAAACTTCTGATTTAGCCCTTTTGATTTCTACCTATTTATTTTTAAAGCAGAATGTATTATATGGCAGGTCTGCAGCATTGCAGGCAGGCTGTCTTTAGATAGGGATTACAGATGGGAGAAACCTCCTAAGTTCGTTTCCTCTCCTGCTGCCAGCTATCATTTGTGTGATGACTTTCATAAATTTAACTGTTCAACATATAGCTAGTTAACAATTGTTGCCTTTTGAACATGTTGCTGTTCTTGGAACACTTAGCTCAAAAAGTTGTTCTTTCCAGTAAAAGCCTGTCCTGAGTTTCCAACCTTTTTCTTAGATATAGGTTGGCTGTTTTCTCATCCTTTATCTTAAGAGCTGAATTAGGTTCTCCATTCCCATGATCATCCTGCTGGCTCTGATCTTGTGGCAGTCCTTTGTTCTTTAACGCAGATGATCAGGATTGTGATCTCTTTTCCAGATGAGGTCTCACTAAAGCCTTCTGTGTTATTACTGCTGTTTTCCTGTATCCTGGAAACATAAAGACAATTCACTATGATTTTCTGTACCGTCCTATTTTTAATTAGGGAGAACATTTCATAATTGTATTCTATGATGGAGTTGGCCATTTAATACCATTTCACAGTATTTCAGTTCTTTAATAAAAGATGTTTGACAGATAGAAACACTTATTCTCAGTATTTACAAATGCATTTTTGCACCTAGTACTTAAGAATAGTTTCCTAACACTTACTTGTATGTAGATGGTTTGTTATAAAGTCTTGTATATTTGTCTTCTGCAAAAACCATCACAGAAAAATAATTCTTCCAGCTGCTGCAAAGCATTTATTCATGTCTGCTAAGGATGGTGGTTAGTTCTTTATGAGTTAGAAATACTCCATCTTTCTGAGGCTTTAAAAATGTGTTAAATCCTCAGTACCAGGAATTGAAAGTAATTTCAGAACGTGGTGCTCTGACTCATCCTAGGTAAAGGAAGCTGGCAGATTTTTATGCTGTACTTGGTGGCAAGATAAATTTAAACTTTGGAAAAGCCTGTTTCTCCTCCACCTCATTTTTTGAGCTGTCTAGGTGATAATCCTAACAAACAGTGTGCATTTGTATTTGGTTCAAGGGAAAAGTGCATGAAGTGCATAGTTTTCCCAGCCTTTTGAGTTCTCTTGCAGAAGAATTCTGTCTCCCTGGTAACGATTAAAACTGGGGAAATTGCTCTTTGTTGGAGCCCTGTCTTCCACCCAGGCTCCAGTTTACCAGTGCTTGGCACTTCCCATGATCTGTTAGTTTTGTTCCTTTATGCAGGGATAACTTTGGTAAAAGAAAAAAAAGCCCAAAACTTTGGGATAACAGCACAGTGTGGCCTTTCCTCTACTGTACTGTGTGTGCTTGGAACACAATTTAGAAATTATTATGTTCACCGAGAGGCCAGTGGGTCTTGAAATGGCCAAGTGTCTGCACAAGTACTGACTGCTGCAGGTTATATGTAAGGTGCCCTTACTGTAGCTTTTGTTGTTACCTGCATTGTGTTTTCCATAGCACTTATCTCAGTGAAATATGTACAGCAAACTTCAGTGATATTATAATCCGTTTCTGTACTTTAATAAAATTGATTTAATATAGTTTAAAATATAGTTTATAGTTTAAATAGTTAAATATGTTAGCTTATGTCTGAGGAAATATATAAAAATAATACTAAACACCTATGCAAAGGTATCAGTCTCATTAATACTTCATACTGCCAGGGAGAAGTCAAGGCTACGTAGCACTTACGTGTTTTGTTCCTGATACCTCATCTGGGATTTAGCATCTTTCCCATGCAGACTGATAACCAAGGCAGCTTTCATAGACAACCTAAGCAGAGGTGGCTAACCTGGGTTTTGAAACTGAGCACCTTGCTGAAATACTACAGCCTTTGTAAAGAGCATATAAGAAATAGCTTTATCAAAAATCAGGTGCTTGCTTTTAGGTTTAAGATAGATGCTTCTCACCACTTCTGAATTACTATCTTGAGAAAAATGAAGCATTGCTGCCACCTTGAGGTCGTTTA